AGACGGCAAAAATCCGTGGGAAATGCCCAAAATTCGTGGGTAATGAGGCATTTCCGACGGATTACCGACGGACACTAATCCGTCGGTAATGATAGACTATGGCCAAGGCCAAGGAATCCAAGAGGTGATATCTTAAAAGAACCAAGAGGAATGAGATGATCTTAAAGACCTTTTCATATGTTTGTACATATAGTAGTCTCTTTGTATAGGCTTATTTTTGCCTTTGTATTTGTGAGGCACTTTACTTGCTTTTATTAGTGATTGTATATTGATTTTAGGGTAGGTTACTTGGAGAGTTTAACTCCATTTAACCTCCTTTGTTGATACATTCATTTTACATTTTTTAAGTAGGGAAAAAGGGGTGACATTTAGCAATGTTTGAGGGTGTGACTAGTAATTGGGTCAGAACTGGGCCTAGGCAAAATTTTGCATATTAGACTCATTTTGCTCCTAATTTTTCATAAATGTGATTTAGCTAGGTCTCATCATCATATGATGAACCTAACTAAACCAAATCAAATATTTTTGAAATAAATCAAGTGAGCAATTTGAGACTTGGCCGCCTAGCTCTTTTCTTTGTTCTTGGCCGAATTTGTGAGTCTTCTCCTTCAAGCTTAGAAGCTTGTCTTACAAGTTTCTAAACCTTGGGAGGTTAGGCTGACCTTACCATGGTTCTTAAGTGAACCATGGTCAAGGTTAGCTTCTCCTACAAGTTTTAGAAACTATGGACGGTTAGGCTAAACCTTACCATGGTTCCTAGTGAACCATGGTTAAGGTTAGCTTTAGTAATATGAAAATTTTATATTATATAATACTTAACATATAGCGTTGATTTATGTTCAAGTAATGTACTAGAAAATGACTAAAAATAATTTCTAGATGACATGTGGATTTTATTTTTAAGGTGTATGTGAAGGTGTTAACAATGAAAAATTATTGGTTAGTTTATGAATTTATTTTGTGGTTTCTAAGATTGTTAGAAAAGCTATCGATCTTTCTAAGTATATTTTTTATGTGCCTGATTAATTTAAATAAGGTATTAATCCTTAAGGATTTTAATTATGGAAACTATTGTGGAGATTTAAGAAGCAATATTATGGACTTTATAGTGATAAACTTTTATTTATTTTTTTTGCTTCATAAAAAATGTGGAAGTTTTAGACTTTTTAAATAAAGTGAATAGTAAGTTTAGCTTTGTTTTTGATACATGACTTTTTAGACTAAACTAGACTTGCAGTTTTTGCGAACCTTATAAATTGAGATGTGATATATGTAAGTAATGCAAGTTTAAAAGTTGATGTCATATTATGATATGTATCTTACCATGATTTAAGAATTTTGGTGTATATTTTGCTAGTGACAATGATTCTTGGAAAAGAACAAGAGATCGAGACCTTTCTATAGGTTTGGATAATATTCCGTAGATAATAATCATTTTTCTTGTAGTGGATATGGTTGAACCTAGACAACCAAAAAGGTGTTCCATGTGTAGGAATCCAAGTCATTCTAAGAAGAAATGTCCTTTTCGTCTAGGGAGTTCAAATCAACAACCTTAAAGTCAACAACTTGTTCTTCTAATGGATAGTATTCAACCAAGTTTCAATGTGTGTTTGTTTAATTGTATATTTTTCTTTAATATCATGTATTCAAGTGTGTTTTAATGCAGTTCTTCAATTGTATTAATGAATTACAAATTTTAATTTCCTATTTTTTTTTTGAAAGATTTAATCACTAACATCAAATACTTAAATTAATTAAAATTTTATATTATTAATTTAAATTTAACATTATTTAAAGTTAATAATATTCATTCTTAATAATATTAAAAAATTAAATATATATACTATTTTATAAACCAATATTATAATATTATTAAAAAATATATTTATTAAATAGAATCACTAAACTAATTATTTAAAAATGTTAATTGAAAAAAATTTAAATTCTTAAATTAAATTATTAAATTATCTATATTTTTAAAATAAAATTTAAATATTAAAACATATTATTCTCTAAATTTAAATTCTAAATTTTAAATTAAATTAAAATAATTTTTAAAATTAAAAACAAAAAATAAAGTAAAAAATGAACTAAAAAAACCAAGAGAAAAATCGATTTCCTAACAACCGATTGAGCAACCGATTTCTTAATGGGCTGAAAAAAGAAGGGCCCAAGTAAGAGGTGGGGAGGGTATTTGGATAAATAAAAAATGGTATAAAAAAAAGTCCAAGTTTGAGTATGTAGTGCAAATCAAAAACATTTTACTTAAATTTCCTCTATATATTATTATGTCTACTCTCATCAAGATATTTGGTTTGGAGAATTTGTCTATGACTTTTGTACTATTTTTTTCTTATAATATAATATATTTTACTTTTATTTATTTTAGTTTGTTTCAATCTTTTAACCTTCATGATATGTAAGGTTGGTTTTGGAGGTTGTCTAGAGGTGCAAAATGAATTCATATATAAGAGGACTCAATTTAAAAAAATATATTTAATTGTATTATAATTTTATATTATGTTAAAAATTAAAACTATTAACTTTTTTAATTAAATAAAAAAATATAATATGATTATAAAGTGTTGTTATCTTTATCATTAATTTTTTTTTCTTTGTATTACATTTATATTACAATTTATTTTAAAACTGAAGTGCTTCAACAATTACATTTATATTGCAATGTATAAAAGTTCTTATTTGTGTGCTAATAATTTTGTTCAAGTGTTTCAATAAGAATAAGATTGGAGAGAAGACTATATGAGTCAATAGTTTCTTGAATAAAAAAAATCCTTATGACAAAGTAAAATAAGATTTTATACTAAGGATTGTTAAGTAGCATAAAAGACAATTTTTGTCCCAAACAAGAAGTTGAGTATCCTAAGTTATTGATCAGACAATTTCAAGCAAAACATTTCTTCTCAGGAGAAAAGTCTTGAAGATCCTGTCTAAAAGATTATTGAATCCTGCCTAAATATATATTTTAAAAATGACAAACTCTTGGTTTCAAATTTTAATTTAGAAGAGTTCTCATGTAAAGTACTAATAATTTTTTTTAAGTGTTTCAGAATTATTTTTTAAGTACTTAGAAGGTTGCCTAAGTATCACACTTTAGAAACTTCACAAGACATTATTCAATTTATTTAAACTACTATTTAGCAGCAAAGTCTTGACTATGCTAATAAAAAAGATGAGCATCTTGTGTCTCTGTTAAAAAAAAAATTCAAGTTAAAACATTTATTCTCAAGAGAAATCTCTTAAAAACTTAGCTTAGAAGACTTACACTTTGAATCATCTATCAAAAGGATTCAATTAGAACACAGTTTCTCAAAAGACTTGTACTAAAGACTCTACTCAAAAGATTTGAAGAGAAGATCTACTCAAAATGTACTATCATCTGAAGAAAAAATTGACAGTACCAAAAAAAGAAAGTACAATGAGATCAACATTGCTTAAAAACTAAGCAAGCCATAACAAATCTATTTTAGTAGCTATAGAAGGAAGACCAAGGCTGCAGTTTTGAAGCAAGCAAGATAAAAGAGAGTAAGAAAAACATAAGCTATCAAAGCTATAATCTTTGCTTCATACTTTGATTTATTCAAAGATCTCCAGTTCAACATTTTGTATAAATCTTGTAATACAAAAGTGAAGTGTGAATCTTCCTTAGTGAAAGCTCTAACTGAGGAAAACTTATTGTAATCTTAGCAGAGAGCTAGGATACAAAAGCCATTTTTGTAAAAAGTCATTCTTACCCAAATCTGAGTTACAGAGGTGTGGGAAGGGAAAAAAGAATCACAATAGTGATTGTGTAATCTCATAGTAGGTAGTTGTTAGGTTGGTTCTCTCAACATGTTGTTGAGTGTCAAATCTCAATAAGTGGTTGAGTGTGTATCACTAAAATAGGTGGTTATGTAATGGTGTTATCGTATCAACAAATGGTTGAGTTGTTCTGAACAGTAATTGGTTGTGACAGTGAAAATCTCACAAGTTTGTGTAAATCTCTCTAACTCTATTTGTTTACTTATTTCATTTAATATATTACATCTTATATTTATTATTGCACAATCTATTATGAAAACAAGCTTGCTCCAAAGTTATTTTCAAAAGAATATACTAAGTTTGAATTTGAATACTTAGAAATTTACCTTTTCAAATAGATTTTCATAAAGATTTTTTTTTAAAAGAATACACTAATTTTGAATACTTAGAAGTTTACCTTTTGAAGAATAGATTTTTATAAAAAATTAAAAAGCACAACAATTCAACTCCCTTTCTTGTTCCCTAACATTCACTTCAATTGGCATCAAGACTTGGCTCCTAAAATTGAGATAAATTTAGTGAGATAAATTTATCAATTTAGTGAGATAAATTTCATGATTATATAGTCAAAGAAGGATTTTGAAATTCATTATATTTTTTCTCTCCTTTTCAAAATATTTTCTTTTTTAGTTAACAATTAAAAACAAATATAAATTTAATTTTTATGATAAGCCATTGTGTTTCTATACATTCTAATTAAGTATTTCCATTACTAGGATTTAAACAAATTAGAATTCTCAATTTTGTATAACCTTTAGCAAATAAAATAGTTTCAAGAAGAAGTAAATCATAATTTTGTTTAAATTTTTTATTTTTGTCTTGAATTAATAAATAAAAATGGTTCAAAATTATATTCTAAATTTGAGAAAATTAAGTTTTTTTCAACCAAATAAAAATTAAAAATATATTTAACCTATAATTGTAATGAAATGACAACTCTTGAATATTAAACAATCAACAAATCGTTGATATACGTAGAATTAAACTAGTTTCTCTTAAATAATGCTTAGTTTTTTGGAATACTGCACATAGAAAAAATGTTGGAAATAGAAAGAATATAAGTGAATAATGATAATTCACAATAATAACATAATTATTAAATAAAATAAAACTAAAAAAAAATAATAAATAAAAAAATAAAAAAATAGTACATACATTTAGGTCTTAGTCTTTCCCTTTTTGGTTATTTTTTTTAGCATGGAATGGGAAGCGGATAACAATACGTCGCCGTTTGAACGAGAAATGGAGCGAGGGTTTCGGGCATGGTTAGCGCTAATGGCTAATGCTACTACAACGCACCTCCTTCTGGTGGAAAAGAACCTTCCTTCGCGGTTTCTCCACTGTCACAAATCGACGCCAAGATGGATGAGAACGACGATGACGTCAGCCACGACGGCAGCGGTTCGCGGCGCACGCGCTCCCAAGCGGCTCCGGATTGGAGCGTGACGGAGGCGCTGATTCTGGTCAACGAGGTCGCCGCGGTGGAGGCCGACTGCTCCGCCGCGCTCTCCTCGTACCAGCAGTGGAACATCATCGCCGAGAATTGCGCCGCGCTCGACGTGCGGCGGAGCCTCGCGCAGTGCCGCCGCAAGTGGCGCGCGCTGCTCTCCGACTACGACGGCGGCCTCCCCGGATTCGACCGCGAGCTGTTCGAGGCCGTCGGACGCGTCGTGAGGGCGCGTGAGGAGCGGGGCCTGGTTGATCCCGAGAGCGATAACGAAGCGGGGAACGAGGCGCGTGATGCCACCGTTGAAATCGGTACGCAGCGTTTCGTTTTGTTGTTGTCTTGGCTTTGGCTCGTTGGTTTTTGAGTGGTGTTTGTGTGAATTTTGAATTTTTTGATGCATGGATTTTTAGATTTAGTATGTTTTTACTCCATTGACAATTTTTGTTTTTAGTTTTTTCTAATTCTAGTTTATAAAGTTAACACATTTTGGTGTCTGTGGTCATGGAGAAGAATTTAGAGACTAAAACAAAACAAAAATTTCTTCATGGACTAAAAACAAGAATTCATAAAAATTTAGGCACTAAAATATATTGTATCGTAGATTCTTTATAAGTGGTAAGACTGATGGTTTTTGTTACGGGTGGCCGGGTGGTTGTGAAAAAAACCAAATCGAAGTTAACCGAGCCATAGCGAAAAAATTGAACCAATTCATTTTGCAAAACTGTTTCAGTTACCCAATCCAATTTTGCATAGTAAATCGGTTCAGTGTTTTCTTTTTTTTTTTTTTTTAAGAAACGATACATATATTATGAATATAAATGGATACTTGTACTGCACCATATCAGTTCAGTTTAAAAATATCCTATCCATATATTTTAAAAATTGAACTAATTCACTTTATAAAAATCAAATTGATTAACTAATTTACTATTATAAAAAAGATCGGTTTGGCTTAGTTTGGATTTTTCAAAAATCCGATCCATGAACTCCCATAATTTTTGTAACAGTTAATTTTACCTAACTTAACTAAATGTTAAATATTAGGTGATTTTAATTTCTCTTTTTTAATTTTGTTTTGTAATAAAATTGCTGACTTTTTGATAGCTGGGAATACATGAAAATTAAACTCAAATTTTAATATGCCTAATGCAAGTAAAAAATTATATCATTGATCAATCCAAGAATCATGTTGGTTAAGTTTGTTAGACTTTTACAGTGGCTATCTCTGAAGTAGTACCGAAATCATGTTTGGTAAGTTTGTTAGACTTTTAGGATAACTACCTCAAAAGTAGTACTATAGGTGATTTTTAGCTGGTTGATAGTGTGCTATACCTTGTATACGGGTAGTATTTGACCATTAAATCCTAACTTTTAAGGTAATTGTGTAAAGTCATCAAACTTATCATATATAAAACATATAATCTATAATTGAATGACAATGTAACAGTGCATTAACTATTTACTTAATTTTAATCGTTGAAATCAATTTTAAATTAGTCTTATTGTCCTAGTTTTACTAATTTGCTGGAATTTAATAATTTGAAGGTCTAATATATATATATATATATATTTTAATTTTTAGATATAACTTATTGATCAAGAATCTTTAACCAATATAATTTTAACTTTTTTTTCTTTCTATTTTGATCAAGAATCAAACTTGTATCTGGAGCTAGCAGACCTTAGCTACTTAGTGTTTAAGATTATTTATTCATTTGATTTGTTGTATCTAAGACTTAAGGTTGCTTCTTCATGGTGTAGTTCTATTATGTGCCTTTGTTGTTGTTCTCGTTTTGGTACACATTGGTGTCAATATGTTATCTACAATCTTTATTATGGTGATTGGTTGATTAAGTAGTTTTTATCAATGCATTTAAATGTGGCGTGGTTAAATGTGGAATTTATGCTTTGTAGATGGTTAATAGCAGTAATTTATGGTCCCGGTAGGAACACCTGGTTGAACGTGTTTGTGTCTTTTTGACCATAAATTTGGGTGAGTTGTATGTGTTGCATAGAATGGGGAAGTTTGACGAGGCTTCCCACTAAGCATGCATACAACTTAAATGTATTCCTGAGTTCTAAAGGACACACGTATTTTCCAGATGGTATTGTTGCTGAATGGTAATTAAAAAATAATGGAAGCCAGTTATTGGTGTTAATGTTTAGTTAATTAGGTGATATGTAAGAGTTTAGGGTTTACATTGGTGGATGCAGACTTAGAGCCAGGGGCCTTGGGTGGAATTAGGGTCCTCATTAATGATAAAATTTCATGAAAAGAAATTGAGGGGGTTCTTAATTATAAACTCCTTTAGAGCCTGGCTTTGGGTCAAAACTCTTGAAATTCTTAATGACTTGAGTGTTGGTGTTTACAAATGTGATCTTCTCTTTGTCATGAGCCACGCCATCTGACATAACTTTAACATTGTCAACGTGCAGTAGCACCAATGTGTTTACTGTTTAGTTCCTCAACGAACAACATGTGCTAATTTTGCATTATGTATACTGATATAACTGCAAAACTTATTTTTGGTGTATAGTGTCTTCTCCCCTCACATTGCTAGGCAGGAAGTTTTAGTTAGTAGGTTCGTTATTCACTTATTCCCTTATTATTTTTTCCTTTAAATAAATAAAAGTTGATTTGAAGATGTAATTAGGGAACTTATATAAATTTAAGATGTAAAATGATTTTTTTTCATTAAATAAAAAGCATTCTGATACACATTTTAATGGCACGAGTCTAGAGATATGTAAAATTGGATATTTAACAGAGTTTGGTTCGTTTTCCTCCTGTATAACACTAGGTCGTAGTAAATTGAGAAAATAAAAGGTGACTGGAGCCTACAAATTGTACTTGACATAAATTTTAAATAATTTAATTAAAAAGTTAAAACATTGATAGACATGTTGCAAATTGATGAAGAACCATGATACATAGGGAGATTTAAAAGTAAATAAGTAATTTGGCTCTTCAATGATTGTCTAAGGCAGTTTAAATCTGAAATGATCACAATAATATTAGTGATATTAGTCATGTGATTAATAGCCAATTAGTATCTATACCTTAGCTACTATTTTCCCATATTTTACCATTTTAGGGTCACATCTATTGTTGGTGATGAAAATATCCCTTTAGGCATACTTTTCGACTAAGAGCGTTAAGAGAAGATTCATTTTGTTTCTCTTCAAATTAATTCAATAAAATTCTCTCTGGTTCCTTTACTTCAGTAATATCCAATTTGTCAATCTTGGTGCTAAATTTTCTTAATATGTTCTTGTAATTAAATCATAGCATGAGGAAACCATCAACACGATATAATTTCATTTGTTATTTCTTCTCTTTTTCCTCACTTTTGAATTATTTAGCAAGTGAATGAAACTAAGTAGTTTGATCCCGTTTGGAGCATTATCATACAACTTTTATTTCGTTGTCTTTACTGCTTAGAACTTTTCAACTGATGAATTTTATGAATTCAATGAATAGGGTCCAAAAGAAGAGGGCAACGAAGTAAATCAAGTCACCAGGTTAAAAAGCCAAAGAAATGTCTTGAACAAAGTCATGACGAATGGCCTGAGGATGATCATTCAGAAGAAGAGTATTTGAAAGACTTCCTAAAATCAAGACCCAAGTTGAAATGCACTGCAGAAAGGCCTCCAAAGCACTTGGTGATGCAATCAAAGAGCCATGGCAAAGTGGAGCTTCATGAAAACCACCATATTGAAAGGCCAAAACCTATGAACACAGAAAAGATAACAATTAGCAGGGAAGAAAATGAGGAAACATTGACTCTGAAATTGCAAGAGTTAGCCGTAGAGATTGAAGCAATTGCTACTGAATCAGCATCAGATTATAAGGGAGGTGGCTCACAGAATGTAGAGGACTCCCATACTGACTTTACAAGACGCCAAGGGGACAAGCTCATATCAAGCCTGGGAAATTTCTCCCACACCCTTAAGCACCTATGTGATCTTCTCCAAGAGTGTAAATGAACATTACAATGTTCTTTTCTTAACTATTTTTTAGAGTTTAATTTCTATGCAACGTCACTGTAACCGTCGATTAATCAAAATTATGGTAGGTAAGACTTTCAAGTTATTTATTGTAAAAGATAACACAATACATGCTTACACTATGTATTTTCTATTTGATAGTGAAAGAATGCAGCAAAAGAGAAAGTTGTTGGTTTATACTCGTATAGTTGTGCTCATTGTTCATTTTTGCAAAAGTAAATTATTACAGCTTAACGAGATGCATGTGTTTTTACTATGAATTTAACTTTTTTCTGAAAGGAACTGCCCCAGAAATTAAAAAAAATAAAAATAAAAAGAGGCTCTCGTTACAAATTACCTTACCAGGGTTGTGATTTTTTCACATTAATTAATTAAGAGGGAAGGAATAACCGGAATTACGCAACAACCAATAAAGAAAAATTGCCAAGAGGAAAAATAAATGTAGACAAACATTATCGACTTCACTGGGGATCGAACCCAGAATCTCTGGTTCCGTAGACCAGCGCCTTATCCATTGGGCCATGAAGTCTTGTTGTAAATGGGAGTGAGTTTCTCATTGAAGTCTTTGTTAAATATGGGAGTGAGTTTCTCACTAATGAGGACAATTATCACATAATATTTTTTTTTAAAAAAAAATATGTAACCTTCTCTCTAGAGTCACTTATCGTAAATTTCGAACACTATTTTTGATTTTAAGATAAGAAGATGAATTAATACTTTAAATAGATATGATATTTAACTTTGCTAGTTCACAAAAATTATACTTTTTATATTTTGAAGTCATTTTGTAGAGGTGGAATTAGTTTAATTTTTATGAGGTGGTCAAGCCATATATAAATATTTTTAAAATTAATATATTTAAACTAGCAAATTGATATAAAAAATTTTTAAAGTAATAAGTTAAATAAAATAAAAACTTACAAAGATATTCATAAAAGTTGAGTTTCAAAGATTCAAATTCATCGATAATTGTCTGAGTACTAAAAAGACTAACAATGTCTTTTTCAAATAAGCAACTAAGTTGTTTGAAAGAAATTCATCATCCATTTTATTATAAAGACTTGTTTTGATAATTTTCATAGCTAAAAAAGTTCTTTTTTTTTTTTTTTGTAATTGTTGTAGAGATTGAAAATGTCAAAATAAGATGAATCAATCTATTAACCAAGTGATAATTATTTGAATTTCTTGTTTCTACTAATTTTTGGCATAACTCTAAGAGTGTTGTTAAATCATGAAAAGTTTGATGGTGAAAAATGTCAAATATGTAATGCCTCAATTGAAATTTCAAATGAAATCTTTCTTATTTAGTGAAATCAACATAATAGAATTTCTTCACTAACTTGTAAATATTATCAACATAACATATTAGTATTATAATTTTCATATTTTCATAAAAATTATAATATCATATGAAGACTAAATTCTTTCTTGATTAACAAAATGATTAAAATAAAAACTCTTTGTTAACTTGCAAATATTATCAACGTAGAACTCTTAGTAATTGTTGTTAGGGTCTAAAAATGTACTTAAAGTTAAAAGCTCCAGAACCTTCTCATTAAACCTTGAATCTAATTCTTGCAACTATGAATCAATTACAACTAAGAAAATATCATCTCAATAATGATGCTCCATAGTTAAATTTTGTTAACGAGTTCGTCCTCTTCTAAAGGCATATTATGTTTCCATATTAAGAATCCCTATCTCATATTTTTGAAAATATTTTTTTTCACATTCTCTAGCAAACTAAACCATCCACCATTTTTTAGTTGTTGAAGAAGTGATTTTGTAGAACAAACAAGATTCATTGCATTTAAAATATCTTGAGAGCATGATTGAAATGCTTAACAAATAATACTAGTAATTCCCATGATCTCAAACATCAAGTGTAGTATGAAAATAAATTTAAACGATGATAATATTTTGCTCGGAGTAGAAGCATCACCTCATTGGGAATAAGTGACCTATTCACCAATGATATTAGCAATAATTTTGCAAATTGCATCATGCATCTTCATTAAGCTACAAATGAATTGAAAATGAGAACTCCATCAAGTATCTCAAAATCTTTGTAAAGTAACCATTTGATTTGCACCTTTACCTATTTGAAGTCCATCATTAACAATCATGTTTGTAATGTTAATTTCTTAAGCAGCTTGCAATTGGTCATGCCTTTTAGAAGAAGCACCAACAATGTTTACAATAAAAGTCAAATATGTAAAAAATTTATGAATATGAACTACTTCTTTTGTTGTTGTAACCAATGCTAATTGTAATATGTGAGCATAATAATGCATATAATATGCACGTGGATAGTCATTAGGTACCAAAACTTACAAGTCATTCCATTCACGACGCATATTACTAACATCTAACAATTTCAACATCTCAATAAAATTTTCTCTATTTTTTTTGAGGAAATACTTTCTTCATGACCTCTAAATGCATAAGCTTGAAAAGTTAACCATCTAACACAATCAATGCTAATTTTAAGTCTAAGTTGGTTATTTTCAATCTCTTCTAATGTTTGCTTTCTAATAAATTGATCAATATGTTGTGATTTTGCAATAAAGCCTAACAAGATTGAACAACAATATCATTTGAAAAATTTGAATTTTTTCCAACATGATTTATAAAGGGGACAATTTTCTCCACCATTTATATTATTTCAAGTATTAAAATCTTTTTCAATAAAATATTAGAACTTAGACGATTAGAAGCCTTTTTACCAAAAAGATAGCATGACAAATAAAATATAACATCCTTTTCAAGAGAATAATCCAACTAAGAAGGATATAATTCAAACCAAAAAGCTTGAAACAATGAGGATGATCATCATATTTTTTAAGGATACTTTTTGAGAATAGGTTGGTCTAGTCACATTTAAGATGAGCACGACGACTTTCATCATTTTGATTTATAAGAAACTCCCAAATCATTGGTCACAATTCATGATCTAATTCAATACCAAAATTGTTCATTTCTATGGGATGAAATCTTGGACGTTTTGCCTCACATTGCTCTTGTTCATAAGATGAAATATTGAGGTTAAATGTCTCTAATGTAGAAGACTTAGTTGAAACATTTATATCATTTTCCTTTCTTTAGAAAAAATCATCAATTGTTTTCATTTTACTCATACCTAAAATAAGAAATCAATTAGACATAAGAACCAATTATCTTTTTTTTAAAAAAAAAGCACAAAATAATTCTTTATAATAATTAAGCATAACAAATAGCAACAATTACTAAAGTAACTCAAGTAAAAAAAATCACATTTTCTAACAAATTAACAATATATATTTTTGTATTAGATTAGACAATTTAAATATATGCAATTTGAAATAATAAAGTAAACTACAAAGTCTACAATGCTTCTAATAAAAGAATAAATGAATAAAGAGACAATTTATAAACAAAAAAGTTGCAAACTAATGTAGATGCAACAATGTTTAGCACCGTTGTTTCAACCGATGTAGATGCAACAATATTACTTATATTATTTTTCACTAGATGCTTCCCGACTATCATATTTATCGTTTGGTGCTACTATGTTTGATGTTCTGCTCACACTCATTGTCCAAGACTCACAAATTGCAAGTTGATACAAACTTTTGTAGTTGATGTTCGGAGTGAAATTGTGCAACAAAGACGAGACAATGCGAGGAGAAACTTATAAATTTGAAGTTGAAGCCTTTTTTATTTTAGCTTATTTCATAAGTTTGTGAAATAATAAAGTAAGAAATAGAATAAAGTTAAAAAGAGCTTGTGCAAGAAGTTTGTACACAATGAAATAAAAAGTATAATTTTTTAAAAAAAATTTGTACTTGATTTCAGAATATTTGTGTTAGGAATTATACATTTATATTTTTGTCTTATTATAAAATAACATTAAAATTAAAATAAGTTTGACTTCTTTTAATTTTATTATCATATTTTTTTAATAACTTAAGATAGCTTATACAAGAATAAAATAATTAGATATAAAAAAAATTATAGTTTTTTTTTTGGTAGTCATAGTCCTATTGACACAAGAGAAACTATCCATCTCATTAAGCTTTTTAATTATGTGTTAATTGTGTCTTTGTTTTTTTGGTTTGTCCCTAGAGTATCTAGGATGATAGTGTAGTGATTAATCTCCTCACTAGGTTGGATGCCCCAAGATTTAACGCGGCTACATACACAAGACAAGATTCGAACCCTTGACATTGCTTAAGCGTGGATCAACCCCCAACGCTGAACCACACGCTTGGAATTGTGTTAATTGTGTCTAAGATTCTTGTTGGTATAAAAAAATAAAAGAAAATGTATAATATATGCTAATCTCTTAAAAAAAAATAAAATTGTAATTTTAATAATAAAACTTTAGATCGATAATAATCCTTTTTGATTTATTTATAATTTTACAAGCATATTCTACTATCTTATACTATCATATAATATCTAATTACTTGACATTGTTTTGTCATATCAACATTTTTCAACTTCAAATTATATATATATATATATATATTTTTTTTTACATCCTTTTATATATGTGTAAGAATCAATTTTTTATCATGTTTATAACAATTCATGCACATTGTTCAATTAACTAAACTTAGTCTCATTAATTTATGTTTAATTAAATGCAAAATAAAAGTAATTATTTTGATAATCAATCATAAATATAACTAATTATTAATATCATCATCAATTCTATGAAATACATTTTAAATTTAGATATCTTTGGGAAAAAACATGTGAAACTGATACCTAATTATAAAGCTAATAAATATTTTTGATATCCTTAAATATTATAAAGAGGATATCGAGACATGTAATCGGTTTTGATATCCACTTTTTAGTAGATTATTGTACCCCTCAAACATATATATATATATATATATATATATATATATATATATTCTATGAATAACTATATATAAATTTTTTATAATAATTGTGCATGACATCGAAGAGAGAAAAATACGAAAAAATTTATAAGATTTTCTTGATAATAGAATAAGTATACTATATCTCCTAAGTCTAGAGGGGTTGAGGCACTTTGTGTCTCTCATAGTCATACATAAACAGAATACTAGAAGATTGAGTATAATTCTTTAGAAAAATTATAAGATTTTTTTATATTCAAAAGATATAATAGTTTATTAAATAACGGAGACCAAAAGGAGTTATAT